AAATGGGTTTTTCCTCACGTTTTTTCCCTGCGATCTGGGACGCAGGGGAAACCAGGCAGTTCCAATAAATGCGAAAAAGTCTCCCCGGCTGAGCTGACCCTCAGGGATGATGTGTCACTTCCCGCAGCTCAGGCGATGTGAGCCTCAACCCTGCACTCCAGGGTTTTTTTTGGTGATTTTGGGAAGAATGTGCCAAACTCCCACATCCTGCCCAGAGCCCATCTGGTGTGCAGAGTGCCTGGTACACTCACCATGAGATTGTCTGGGATGTGTCATTTGGACAGACAATAGAAGGAATCTTTATTAAAAGTTTTATTATCACACCACAGCCTTGAGCTCCACTTGGCTCAGGAGCAGCTGCTGATGGTTCCCCCAGGGCTCGCTCAGTGCCTCACTTAAGCAATGGGATTTCATCACTTATTTCCCACATCTGGGACCCCATTCTGCCACGCTGGGTCACAATCAGATGGACACAACCCAAAATCAGGCCTGGATCTTGTTTCTTTCACATCTTTGTGAAAAATGCATATTTTATGACTGGCTTTTTGCAAATATTAAATCGAATATTATATGTGAGGTGTTAGAAAGTAATGCTGTATTAATTCTCTTAAGTAGTGTGTTAAATATAGTTTTAGGTTATAAAAAATGTTAAAATAGAAACTATGCTATGCAGGATACTTTTTTTTTAAAGAAAGTACTTGCAGCGAGATATCAACCACAGGACACCTAAATCTTTCAGAGAAAAAGAATTTATTGCCCTCTTATCAGAAGAAACTAACTCCTTCCCACCTCAAACGTGCTGCTAGAATTCAGAGGAAGAAGTTGACCGCAACCAGACAGAATTCTGTATTTGAATGGAATTTATGCATCACGTGTATGAATATGCAACAGGCTGTTGTTTTTAATGGTTACTCCTTTGTTAACATGGGTCCTTTTTCAGGCTTGTGCTGCCCACAAAAGGTACCCGGACATCTGTAACTCTTTGTTTTTATTGTCTCATATTGTCCTAATTCAAATCGTCCAAATTATTATTACTCTAATTGTATTACTATTTTTATAACCATTTTATTACTATTAAACTTTTAAAATTTTGAAAACAAGTGATTGGCGTTTTTCACACCTTTCTGTCAAAAGAAGCGTCAGCACCTGGCTGGTGGTTAAAGAACCACTTAATCCCTGTGGTGTACCCACATCAAAACAGCTGAAAATAAACAATTTTTGCTGATTTTTTTGGGATGGCCACCAGCTACTGGTTCTTGTGCCCTTCCCCAAATCCTTGTGAGCTGCGGGCAGCAGCAGATGCGAGGGTGAGCCGGTACAAAAGGGAGCTCTGGAGTTTTCCCAAGGAAAGCAGCAGGACAAAGCACAATGGCAGCATTCATCCCGCCTGCAGTGCCATCCTGCCCTCATTGTTCTGCAAAACAAAACAAACCCAAGAGGGACGCGGTCACAAAATGACTTCAAGCGTCAAGAATCGCCCTGCCAGCAAAAAAAAAAAAAAGAGTGAAAATTGAGAACTATTAATTAAAGAGCATTGAGAAAACCACTCATTAAGAAACGAGTCGCTTGAACTCTAGAAAAGCAAAATTATTGCTCAATTATTGCTCTCAGAGATGGAGAGAGGCCAAGAGGCAGGGAGGAGAAGCTGTCCTGCAGCAACACCAGTGGTCTGAGCTTCTGCAGATGTCCCTGTTTTGAGCCTGGTTTATCATTTATATTTATCTCCTGATAATTTTCTCGTCAGCAACTGCTTTTCTGAGCTGTACTCCTGCTCTATAAACTCCCAATGTTAGCACTTCTTTCATCAGGCAACAGTTACATCCTCTGATGTAAAAGATGTTGAAATGTCTGGTCTTTCACCTCCTTTTTAAGTGAAGAAACTGCCAACAAGTAATTTTTTATCATAAATTATCATAACTGTTGACTGTGGTATCCCTTATCATTGCTGCTGGGTGTAGAAACAGCTTCATTAACACAATAATTAATAAATTAATTTAAAAATCAATTTCTCCAAGTAGACAGTGTCTCTAAAGCAAGGAGACTCAGCCCAAGGGTGGGGATGAGGGGGCAGGAGGGACCCTGGCTTCTCTTTTGGGGTGAAAATCACAGAATCACAGAATGGTTGGGAGATCATTGAAGGCAAGGTCACCTGGAGCAGGTGACACAGGAACACATCCAGGTGGGGTTGGAATGTCTCCAGAGAGGAAAACTGCAGGTTCAGAGCTCTGCCACCCCAACATAAGAAAATTCTTTCTCATATTGAGGTGAAACTTGTTGTGTTTTAGTTTATTCCTCCTCATCCTGTTGCTGGGCATCACCAAAAACAATCCGGGATCATCCCCTTGGAGATGTTTCTATGGATCGATGGGATCTCCTTTTGCTCCAGAGGATCCCATGAATCCATAGGAATAAAATCAAATCTGTAACTCCACCAAAGGGCTGAATTCTGAGAGGTTTTTGAGGCTCCTTTTCCTCAGAGAACGATTCCCTGAAGGCTGGAACTCTTTCCATGGCAATTTAGGTGCTTATTGTGTTTCAAGGTGCCACGGGTGCAGGTTTATCTTGCTTTAGGTGTTTAGTGTGCCTGAAGGTGGCATGGGTGTAGGTTTATTGTGCTATAGGTGTTTATTGTGACCGATTGTCCCCCACAGATTTAGGAGTTTATTGTGACCAATTTTCCATCACAGATTTAGGTGTTTATTATTGTGACCGATTGTCCCTCACAGATTTAGGAGTTTATTATTGTGACCGACTGCCCCTCACAGATTTAGGTATTTATTGTCATCGACTGTCCCTCACAGATTTAGTTTACTGCGACTGATGGTCCCTCACAGATTTAGGTGTTTATTGTGACTCAGGATCCTACAAGCGCGAATTTATTCTATTTAGGTGTTTATTGTGCCTGAAAGACCCACAAAGACGAGGGTTTAACCCTATTTAGGTGTTTATTATGACCGAGGATCCTACAAAGACGGGCTTAATGCGCTTTAAGTGTTTATTGTGACCGAGGATCCTGCATGCGCGTATTTATCACAATTTAGGTGCTTATTGTGGCTGAAGGTCCGGCAGATGCAAGTCTATCGCTATTTAGACGTTTATTATT